TGACCCTGAACATCCACAGCGCAGGAAGTTGATGGTGTTCGGCACTGGGCGGCGGCTGTGTCCAGGGGAGAACTTTGCCAGGTCTCGTCTCTTCCTCGTCCTGGTCACCTTACTCCAGCACTTCCGTTTCCTACCTCCTTCCGGGGAAAAACTTCCGTCATCGCACCCCAAAGACTGGACCCTGGGGACTGTGTTCTCTCCGGGCAACTATCAGTGCAGGGTTGAGCTCAGAGCCTGAGGGATGGACGGCATCTTGACGTGACTCGACAAATATTTATGCACAACATAATAAATTGATTCCGTCTGGGAAGTAATTATATTTTAGACAAGAAAAAAATTACTCAAGAATTTTAATTTCGTCGAGCTAAAACTGTAACCTTCTACTTAATAAAAATACAACAGCACCACCACCGACAACAACACAACCACAACAGTAGTAGCAGCAACAACATCAGCAACAACCACAGCAACAGCAGCAGTAACATGAACAAGAAACACAACATGAATAAGAACTACAACACACACATATTTAAAAACATAAACACTCGCTCAGACACTACGCATAGGCACCCACTCTCATCCCTGTCTGTCTGTCTGTCTGTCTGTCTGTCTGTCTGTCTGTCTGTCTGTCTGTCTGCCCTAGACGGCGAAGCAACCCACCTCCCACTCCCCTGCCACTACAATAACTCGACAGGATACGGTTAACTATTTCCAGGAGGTTAACTATTTCCAGGAGGAAGAGACGAATTTGAACAATGATTTTTAACATGCTGAAACATCAGTTGTAACGTTCGGTTAATGGATTGTTTGGATAATGACAAGGTTTTCTTACTTTGGATGTGTTGATGCTTTATGTGCTTTGGTGTCCTTTATTTTACGGTCATAGCAAGGTTCCTGAAATAAGAGTTTGCTCCCTTCATGTAGACCAAGGTTGTACGTAAAAAATACCCTCCCAACAACCGTCAAAGACATGTACTTGCGGCTTATTATCAGCTCTCTCAATTCCCGAAAAGAACTACTCGTGCATGGCTACACAGAGCTTTGACGTTGCCATTTTTAATTTCCAAGATGTTTGGTGTTCATCACAC